TGAATGGTTTTGTTCCTAGGTAACTCCCTATTTCTGTAGTGAAATACCAAGTTATTATCAACCCTAAAAATGGAAAAATGAACTTATTCTCACTTAGAATGAAAGGATTAGAAAAAAACCACAAAATATAAAAGGGTCATGCTGCTTAGCTATGCAACCCTCAGATAAATAAATGTATGAGCATGGAAATGAAAGATGAATTAGGATTAAAGGAGGTAGAAAAGAGATTAATTTTAGGTATTTAAGGTAATGCTTGCTAAGAAGGTACAACATTGGTCAGCTGAATGGGTGGTAACTGAAGAGAAATACAACAATTGTTAAGATTTTATTAGTCTGCAAAGATAAGTAAATGATTTTAAGCTGATTATTAATCAAGAGCATCTCTAATAACAAGAAAAAGACCTAGAAAGGAAAACAAAAATCCACAGATATTGAAAATAATTCTTCTAAATGAATTATTTCACTCTCTCCACTGTGTTTTATCAGTAACTATAAACATGGTAATGAACTCTAAAGTGGGTAAAATAAATCAACCACTTACTGATTGCTTATTACATACCTGGCACTATGTTAGGGACTCTGGGGATTCAAAAGAATTAAGACCCCCAGTTGGTGTCGCTCAATGGATTAAGTGCTGGTCTATGAACCAAAAGGTCGCTAGTTCAATTCCCAGTCAGGGCACATGCCTGGGTTTTGGGCCAGGGGACCTGCAAGAGACAACCCATCAATGTATCTCTCACACATCAATGTTTCTCTCCCTCTCTCTCTCCCTTCCCCTCTCTCTAAAAATAAATTTTTAAAAATCTTAAAAAAAAAAGACATTGCCCCAGGGTTTACAATTTGTTTGTACAAACAAAACCAAACATAACAAGGTGGGGGTGGGGGGAAGGTGGCACAGTAAAGTGCAACTGAAGCCCTGACTGGTGTTGCTCAGAGGGTTGGGCACCAGCCTGCAAACTGACAGGTCACTGATTCAATTCCTACCCAAGGCACAAGCCTGGGTTGAGGGCCCTGTCCTCAGCTGGGGGCAATCAAGAGGCAATTGATTGATGTTCCTCTCTCTTTCTTCCTCCCCATCTCTCCAAAAATAAACACATAAAATCTAAAAAAATAAATAAAGTGTAATTGGAGTTCAGACGAGGGCTAGAGCAGTGAGGGAAGACTTCACTCAGGAAGACAGGAAGAGTATGACTCCGTGGGGTGCCTTGTAGGAGAGTGAGATAGTGGTGAGAGGGGGGCACAAATCAGGCAAAGGGCACAGTAGACAACATAAGCAAAAGCCCAGAGATAGGAATGGGTATCGGACATTTAGGGAACGTTGAGGAAAAATTGCCTAGCTTGAGGAAATCTGATAATGCTAGAGAGTAACTAGTAATTAGAAATAAGGGTTAATCTGTAGATTAAACTACGATGAGCCTTAAAAACCATGCAGAAAATTCTGCACTTATGCTATGGAGATTCTAGAGAAGTGTAACATTTTTCTTTTCTGCCTTGAAGGAATACAAAGAACAACAAGCCACACTCCCACAATCCGACCAGAAGGGCTCACAGGGTATTGTTCTCAGAGCTGTCCTGAACCTGACAGTGACAAGTACAATGGGTTGGAGGACAAAAGTAGAGGTGGGGAGCAGCGGAAGCTGCTTCACCACTCGGGTGGTGGTGAGGGGTTGAGGCAAGAGCGGGAGCAGTCAGGAAAAAGGGGGGAAACAAATGGGAAGGAGAAACAAAGCTTGGCGATAAAGGGCAAAAGAGATAAAGACAACTAAGTGCAAATTTTTTAACTAAGAACCAGAAGAGTGGTGGTATGAAAGGCAAATGAAAATATCTGGAAAGCCAGTGTGAGGGAAATGTTTAACTTTTATTTAATCCAGCCATCAAGTCATGTAACATATGCATACTGAGTGCCTGCTGTTTATCGAGGGAACCATGTTGAGCAAATAAAGACATCATGCCCAGTACCAGGGAGCTCCTGATTTACATGGGAAGAAAACCATCAGTCAACCATCCCACGAATATATACAAAAGTACAATTATGACACAGGCTCAAAGGAGTGTTATGAGAGGCTAGGTCAGGGGAATCTGACCTGGGGAGGCCAGAAACGTTTCTGAGGAAATTAAAGCCCGAGCTGACCACTAAAAGGTAAATAGAAACAAAAAGGGGAGAAAAACATTCCAGGCACAAGAAATAGAAAGTAGTATTTTCATTGTCAAATTGGAGAAGATGGCAATATATTGAAGGGAAAAATAGTTAAGGCATTTGTAAATAGTGATGGAGCACAGATGGTACTGTTTTGTAGTTTAGGGAGAGACATTTGAGCATGTTTAATGAAAATTGGTAGTTGAGTTCAGGAAAGGGGATGAAGGTAGGAAAGTAAAGGGCTGAGGCTAGAACCTCTAGGAATAACCACAGTTAATGAACAGCAGAACAAAGAATACAACCAGAAGAGAGGATTTTAAAGTACAGGATAAAGAGATGATGGAGGACTTTGAAATGGCTTCTGCGTCTCCGGTAGCATTCCCAAAAAGTGAAAAAGTGTGAGGTACAGCCCCGGCTGTATGTACTGATGGACCATGTCACTGTGAATTGACTTTTCTGTACCCCGGGGACTACAGCCAGAGTTCCAGGCCTCGAGCTCCATACCATATTGTCTTCACACTGGAGAAAGGAATTTGAGCGAAATCTTTCTCACCAAAGTAATGAACTTGAACCTGGCCACAATAGAACTACATCTAAGCCTGCTGGAATCTCATGCCAGGGTTGGATGAAGGGAAAAAAAAATAGGATTAAAATGGTGAAATGTTGTGATAAAGATGAGATTAAATGAGAAAACTCAGATTGGGAAGGGATTAAATGATGAAAAGTTCTGCCAAGGCAAGAAATTTGGAAGTTGGTAAGAGTTCACAGTAGATTGTATATGACTGTGAATCCAACAGTACAATATTTTTCTTTGTGAGTGAACTAAGTCAAAGGAAGGTAATCAATAAACTGTGCCCTTAGTGCATCATTAACAACACTGGCTATAACTCAGACACCAGAAGTAGAGAGTACATTATCAGACTATTTAAGATAGCCAGATTTTGACTGTTTTGTTTTTTTTAGTTTTAGAGAGAGAAACCTCAATTTGTTGTTCCACTTATTTATGCATTCATTGCTTGCTTCTTCTACATGCTCTGCCCAGGGATGAAACCTGTAACCTTGGTGTGTGGGGACAATGAGCTAACCAACTGAGCTACCCATCCAGGGCAGGATAGCCAGGTTTTGAGTGGGTTTATGCTACTTTCATGTGCACCTAGTTGAAGGCATGTTTTGGGAATGGGATGTGTGTCTTTATCTGCTGGAAAATTAATCTACTATACTTTAAAAATTTCAATCCTCACCCAAGGGTATTTTTTTTTATTGACTTCAGAGAGAGAGGAAGGGAGTGAGAAACATCAGAAACATCAATTAGTTGCCCTCCCTGCATGCCCTAACTGGGGATCGAACATGCAACTTAGGTATGTGCCCTGATCCAGGATCAAACCTGCAACCTTTTGGGTGTACAGGATAACACTCCAACCAACCTCATTTTCAAATTAAAATAATGGATTAGCTCTGACCAGTATGGCTTAGTTGGTTGGGTTTTATCCTGCACAAAGCAAAAGGTCGCTGTTTAGATTCTTGGTTCGATTCCTAGTCAGAGAACACGCCTGGAATGCAGATTCAGCCCTCGTCGGGGTGCATGTGAGAGGTAACCAACTGATGTCTCTCCCTCTCATAGATGTTTCTCTATTTCTCCCTTCCTCTCTCTCTAAAAATAATTTAAAAAAATATTGAAGTAGTGATATGTTTATTTCCAGTTCTTTAACCAGAATTTCCAAAGTATAGGAGAAATTTTTATACTGTGTCTTTCCATTGGGTAACCTTTTTGTGTTCTGAGGTTCTGTCTGTGAGAAGAGAATTTTTCTAGCCATGTTTTTTTTGAGGGGGGGAGGTCAGTACTTTGGTTTAACCTCACTTATCACCATTAATAGCTGTTATGTATCATCTCCATAAATATTTCCATATCTTAAGTTTAACATATCTCAACTTTAAGAGGGTACAAGTTTATGGTAACTTGCCTTAACATTATACTGCCTCCATGTGTGTGTAAAAAATCATTTTTCAAGACGAGAAGCCCATCCAATGGAAGCATTCATTTAGCACTTTTAGAGTCTAGTTGAAGTAAGGGTACAAGGAGACACTGCCTCACTGTTCGCTTTTACCCGCCACAGGAAATACAATCAGAGTTCCAGGCCTCCGGTTCCAGACTATGTTGTTCTAGACAATGGAGAAACACAGGAACTGGGGTAAGGTCTCTCTTGACAAATAGATGTGAGCTTGATCACAACGGTTCTTATGGACATGTTAGATGTGCTAGGATTGAGTGAGAGTAACATGACAAGTCTACTGTCCTGAACCACGGTTGTTGACAGGTCTCTTACTTTGTCATTATTGCAGGGATGAAAGTAAGCTTCAAGATCAAACCTTCATCACCCAGCAAGTACCGATAATCTCAGACTCTCCTAGTAAACTGGTGATACCCAGTATTCAGACACGATCACAAGAGTCTGACACGGTAAGGAGTCCGTAATTGAACCAAATAGAACTCTTACCTTTCCCCACGCATCTTTTTCCTAAGTCACAGTTCTTTAGTTCTACTATCCAGGAGCTCTCAGGGATCAGTGAAATGAGTAATAATACCAGTATGAGATGGTGGACATTTTTATAACAATATCCACACTAAGGAAGATGTATACTTAATGCAAATGCATATTTTTTGCCTCTTAGTGTGGAAAAACCTGCATATTGTCTTTTGAAATACATAGCCTAGCCAAGATATGTACTATCTTTTATGCAAGAATTAAAACAAAGTGACAGTGTAACTCTCGGCTTTGGTCAGAGGTGGGAAGTCTGAGTCACTACAAGCGAGGGGACCAAGGCATTACAAGGAAGTACAGCACCATTTTTTTAAGAAGCCAGATTTTCTTTTTAAGAACTTTTTATTTGTAATTTGTTATTCATAATCAGTATAATGTAGAATCAGAGAAATTTCAAATGAGGACACATCGAGCAAAAATAAAGAAAAACACTGATTTTTTTTAAAGCTGGTACTAGCATAAACGTAACCGTACAGATGTTTTCCATCTAAGGAACAAGAAACTCCTGAGTATCAAGTAGCTAGCCAAATGAATTGATTCCAATTAGAGCAACAACATTCTGATTAGTTCATATTTTTTAAAAAAGTGATTTCCTTTAAGTGTAAGGAAAATTTAGGAGTCTCTATGACTTAATTCCAGTTGGAATCCAGAGAATATGACCTTTTATTCAACCCAGCCTACAGCTGTTGGATTGGATTAAATATCACTACTAGTTGCCAGCTGTGATAAGCAATAAAATAAGGGGCATTCTATAAATTTCTGCTGCCTCAACTTTAAGAAGGGAAATCAAAACAAAACAAAGCCAAACAGGAAGACCCAGTAGGGTCATAAATGTATTTTATTAAAGTTCTGGTCACCTTAAGTCAGTGATTTTCAACCGGTGTGTCACAAGAATCTTTAAAACATGTGATACCTCACTCTGTAGAAGCACTGAATGACCTCTTTTCCCTTAGATTGTCAAATAAAAGAATGACAACAGACAACACAACAGCCAGCCAGTATGCATGCCCCGTCTTGAACCATAAATATGTAAGTGATGTAATAGACTTCCATCTTATTGGTCACAGTGCATAATAAAATAGCATCTGATTGGTTAATTCTTGGTACCAGAAATCCTTATATACACAACTATAGGCACCTGATTTGTTAAAAAAAAGTCACTTGGGAGCAAAGTCTAGATAATTACTATTATTAATATTTTTTGTAAATCAATCAAAATTATACCTATTTTTTTGTCAGATCAGCAACAAATATATTTTCGGCATGCTGCAAAATTTTAAAATTAGTTTATGTGTGCCATGAGATGAAAAAGGTTGAAAATCGCTGCATTAAGTGATTGAAGGTTTTTACATTCTATCCAGTAGGTGGTAGTAATAAGCTTAAAATACGTACAGTGCACAAACATTTTCAAGGTTTTCACTATCCTTAATTAATCCCATGGAGTGGGCTAGCATTATCCACAGGACTAGCAGGGAAGCAGGAAAATAAGTGACCTATGTCACCTGGCTGAAGACCAGAGATTATTCACTGTCTAGGAACCAGAAGCCTTCTCCCGGTTCACTGGGTGAAAGCTGCATCAGAAAGACGAGGTTCAGCTGGGACATACGGCAAAAAGAAAGAAGCTATTCTGTTTAGCACATCGGTATCTTCTTAGACTCAGTTTGGCTACATCAGAGAAACAAAGAGCATAAAGATAACTGAATTAATGGTGGCAAGAGAGAATCTGTCAGAGCATTTCCTTTTTACTACTTTATGTCATGAAAAGCTTTAACATTTCTTAGACCCTAGTCAGTTATTCTGTATTAAGTGTTCTTTCACTACAAAGTATCATTCATGAGAATGAATGACAAGAGAAGAGCAGACAAGAGGAAAGAGCAACATAAAACACTCGGCAAGGACTACCAGGTCAGACTTGCTTAAGGCAAACACCCCTTGATTTCTGGGCCTAAAATAACATTTTAAATGGTTTTCTTTAAAAAAAAAAAAGAGGGCATCTGAGTTAATGACTGAAGCATTAATTAATGATTGCTGAGGCAAACCCTGAAATTTAACACTTGGCACACACAACAAAAAGTTGATTTATCCAATGCACACTGAGGTATCCTTGAGAAGTGATTTTAAGAAGCAGGAACAGAGACAATGATAGAATTCAGTGGTCATGAATCACTAGGACAAAGTGGCATTCAGCAAAAAGAGAGAAGCAGCTGTCACAATTGTGGGATAAGTAGAAACGGACTATAACTTGGTTAGTGTGAGGTGAGAGGCTCAGAAGAGCCTGGCACCAGGGTCTCCCCCACTGGTGCAAGCCTGTGTTTGAGGGCCAACCAGAGGGTGAATTATTTCCATCCTATTTCCCAATCCAAGAGGTCCTCTTCCACTTATGGGGGATCTTTACAAACACTAATCTTCCCATCAGGTCATCAGAAAAGGGGAGAATTTCTGGAAAACAGATCTAAGCTCTCATTCCAGATAAGCATTTCACAGTTAACAACAGTTACCTCAGAAAGGGAAGTATGAAGAGTAAGTGAAAACACGGTTTCAGAGTTACCCTAGGAGTCTCCCTGTAGCAACTTCGCAGGGGCTAAGGGTCCCGAGAAAGATTTTAGTTACAAGGTATTCCATTCCCAGGCCTCTGATCTGATCAAAGTTGGCAAATGAAGGCAGTCAAGAACAACAGATGACTCAGGATGGACTGAGTCTGGAATAAACTGTGTCTAACGGCCCATAGTAGGCATCACTACAGCAGGTGAAGAGAGAGTAGCATCTTCCTCTTTCCACTGAGAAGTGATGGTCTTTAGCTGAGTGTAGAAGTAGATGCCCTAAAGAGAACAAAGGAAAAAACAGAGTTAGAATAGATTTGTGGGAGGTTTCATGATTCCTCTTTTAATCAATTTTTGAAGGTGGTGCTGTGAAGTGCTCCTTACTCTCCTACTTTAGGAATAGGTGCAACTAAATCATGTAAATTTATCTAAAACATTTAGTCTAATACCTAGCACAGAGTAAACAGTCAAACCTAGTTACCATTATGTTGAAACTAGCCAAGAGCATTATTATAGAAATGGAAAAGTTAAACAATGTAATCTGTTAAACTTGTAGGTCATTCTGTTCCTAGAGCTGAGTACCATGTGTTCTGAGGTTCTAAGACACGGCTCAAATCTTGCCTCTTCTCCTTATGGGCCACTGTTTAACTCTGGGCCATCCCTGGGGCATAGTGCCTACCTCACAGCAATGTGTGAGGAGACAAGGAAATGACATACAAATCTCTCATTCCCCTGAAGGAATGAAATACAGATTAGGCCATTTCTGACAACTGTCAGTGATGAACAGCTACATTGAGGTAGTAAAATCCACAATATCTTACAAATCTAAAGTAAAATGTCTGATACACACATTCACTTCTAAATCACCTATAACAGGTAAGCCCAAAAGAGTTCTGCATATTTAAGTCTTTAAGCCTCTGAGAAAACATGGCTTAAAGATTCCTGCATGACTGTCCCTGCCTTCCTCTCTAGCTTCATCTCTGACCACTCTCTTACTCACTCCCTCCCTGTGCCCCAGCCCATTTCTGCTGTTGGAACATGCCACGTCTGCTCCTGCTTTAGGACAACCGCTGAAGGACGAGGCAGTGCCTCATAACCTCAAGAGGTGCAGACACTGCTGTTATTCTCATTTTGCAGATGAAGACACCTGAGGAGCCGAGTTAATAACTGGCCGAGCTGGGGTTTGAACCTAGGCAACTTGGTTTCAGATCTGCTATATTTTTCTTGGTCAGTGCTATATTTATAGTGCTGAGAATAGTGTTTGGTACAAAGAAGATGCCACATGAAATTTTTTGTAAATGAGTAACTATCACGGGAGAGACATGTGCAGGGCGAGTGCACGAGGGCACACCCAATGGGGCACTGAGGAAGGGGCTGCTGGTGGGCAGAAGGGGTTTTCTGGAGAAGCCCATTCTTTATTTATTTTTAAAGATTTTATTTATTTATTTTTAGAGAGGGAAGGGAGGGAGAAAGAGAGAGAGAGAGAAACATCAATGTGCAGTTGCTGGGGGCTGTGGCCTGCAACCCAGGCATGTGCCCTGACTGGGAATCGAACCTGCGATGCTTTGGTTCGCAGCCTGTGCTCAATCCACTGGGCTACGCCAGCCAGGGCTGGAGAAGCCCATTCTTTAAACGGAGACTTGACAGGCGATGAAGAGTCAGTCAGATGAAAATGGGAAGGCCGAAAGAGGGTCCCAGGCAGAGGAAAGGGCATACATAAAAGCTTGGACCTCCTCACGCTCATCCCCTAAAACTTTTTTTCCCTTCTAGTTATTCAGCAAGAAGCAGCTTTGGCAAAATTTTATTAACTTTTAAATCTTTTCTAGGGAACCTATTGACAAGCACTACTGAACAACGTGTGACTCCACAGAGGCTGCTGGCAAGCTTTTCCTCGCAGAATCCTTGTTCCTGAATATGTTAGAGTTTCTTAGAAGAAAAGGTATTTTTAAAAACTTGGTTACCTGTTTGCCATAGAAATTGGTGTCTCCCCTGAAGGAGGACCGGGAGCCAGTGAACGAGAACATCGGTAAAGGCACCGGAATGGGGACGTTCACACCCACCTAGAGCAGGACAAATCCACGTCAGACACTAGGAAGCAGACTCGAGCAAAGGAACTCCCCATTTAGAAGCATAAATGCTTGGCATTAGAGAGACTAATTTTAAATATCCACCTTCCACCCCATTTCCACCTCGTGAACTTTTATTCCTGAGGAAGAAAGGGAGCACCGTGGGAGACAGAGGGGCGGCAACTGATCACTGTTTACCATCTCCCCAGAACAATAAATGGCTCCGAGAACCTCCTAAAAGTTCTGTTCACAGACCTGCCCAACATCTACCAAGTGGGAGTATTTCCGCGCAGTGGCTCCATTGGTGGTGAAGATGGCGGTTCCATTTCCATATGGGTTATCATTTACAATCTTAATGGCTTCATCCAAAGTGTCTGCCTCCAGAACCACAAGAACCGGACCAAAAATCTCCTCTTTGTAACAGGTCATGTTCGGCTGCCAGGAGTGACGCATCCAGAAAAGAAGTCAGTATTTTATGCCTATTTGATTCTTTAGTACCCAACTGTTCACATGGACAGCTTCCATGCTAGTAATCTCTTTTCATTTTAAACCACCTATTTTCTTTTGAAGTGATTTCTTGCTGTGTTCCACCTTCCAAGCTACCAATCATATAAACTCGACGTTCCTATTAAGTACAATTACACTCCTCTCTTTCAAGCACTTGTATTTTTAGGTCCCATGACCCATCACTAGCTTTCATACTTGTATAACCTAGTTATACAATTATTATGTTACTGAAAAATTACATCAAAATTCATTGTTAATAAATCAAATATATATTTAAAACACCACAGGGGAGTTTTTTCTGTTTAAAGAAATCCTTTGCTAAGTTTTCTGTAACATAAACAATCCATTCTCATTCACTCCTTTGCCTCCCAAATGAGTCTGTACGTTTATATTTTGATATCAGGTCACATTAAATGTTCAAAACACCCTTTACCACTGCAGATAGTGAGTTGTGTTTATTGCTTATAAGTGGATTTTTCCTCTATGGTTCTTTGGCAAGAAATTCCATAATTTCTATTATACTTATATTCAACTCAATTATTCAGGATTATAGGATTAGTGAGGACACATGTATTTCAAATAAAAGCCTCTGAATCTCAACTTCATCATTAATTTTAGCTGAGAGACTTGTAGAGTTTGATAAATAAAAAAATATTTGATAAATAAAAATTCTTCTTTCTTTTGTCATCCGGTGAAGATGCAACTACATTTAGGGCACAGAGTAAGTACTCAATAAATACTGGGTGGCTGATATGTTGATGGAGATACTGCAATAGCTATAAGCTAGGAAGCAAGGAGGAATGGGAAGAAAAAATGAACATAAAACAAATAAGTAGCAAGTATAATACAAGATAGGGGTTGGAAAAATATGGCCATTGGGCCAAATGTGGTGTGGAGCCTGTTCCTGTATAAATAAGAAGCTAAGAATAATTTCTAAGTTTTTTAAATGGCTTGAAAACAAATCAATCACAACATAAAATTATTTGAAATTAAAATTTCATTGTCCATAAGTAAAATTTTATTAGAATGCAGCTACACAATGTTAATGTTGCTTTCATACTAAAATATCAAGAGCTGAGTAGTTGCAACAGACTATGTATCCCTGCAAAGCCAAAAATGTTTACTATCTAGTCCTTTATGGAAAGTTTGCTGACTGCCAAGATTAAGAGAGGAGGTTTATTCAGACTCTAGATAAAATAACTGAGTAATCCTGAGTCACTAAATGTTCCTCATTTACAAATTGGACGGATGGAATTCCATAGGCTCTACTGTGCTTTCAGCTCCCATGTTTGGGAAGTAAATAGTCCAGAGTTGTTTACCTTGACATTTGAGATGATGGTTGGTCCAACAAAGTTGCCATTTTCATAGCCTTTGACTTTAATTTTTCGACCATCCAGAAGGATGGAGGCTCCCTCCTTTGTTCCGCTATCAATCAGATTACAGACTCGCTCTTTGGCCTGGGGGGTGATCAGAGGGCCAAGATCAGCTCCAGGCTGGTCTCCTGTAAAACAACACAGAAGCTTTGGAGGTCTTCAATAATATAAATTATGACTGCCAGCTAAAGATGAAACCAAATGACAAGTACAATATAAAGAGAAGCAATGGTAAGAACTGACATGATTGCTCCCATTGGCAAAGGCCAAAGTTAAAACCAAGAGCTTGGTGCCACGGACGCAAAGTGTAGAGAGGTAGGCAGATACCTGATTACCTGCATTGACTCTCAGGTTTTTGGCACGCTCCACCAGCTCCGGCAGCCACTTCTTAGCTTCTCCCACAAGGATCGCTGTTGAAAGAGCCATGCAGCGCTGACCAGCAGCTCCAAATGCTGCCCCAACCAGCTGGTTCAGGGTGTTTTCCTTATTGGCATCTGGCATAACCACCCCATGGTTCTTGGCTCCCTGGGAAATAGAGAAAGCACATGAATATTCCTCGGCAAAACACAATTAGGCTAAGAAATTTGGCAAAAAATCTGAGATTTCAAATGAAAATTTAAGGTAAAGACAAGAGAATTTATCCAAAGCTTTCTGAGGATAGATTTATTATTTTGATACTGCTTAAGTCCTGGTAACACTGAGCAAGTCTCCAGGCTACCTGATATGTGTTTATCTAGATCAAAACAAACCAAGACACAAGAGCCCCAATCACCCATTCAGTCAAAATGACAGGCTGAACATTGCACCCAGGAGCCAATGGGAAATTCTTTTTTTTTCCTAAGTTAGATAGGAAAGAATCTGTTGTCTGCTGGGTTTCCAGTTTCATAAAGAGCAGTGTAAACAAACAGCTGCCAGTAATAATGCCAGTAGCCAGCTGAAAAGCAAAGTAGGAGGCAGACCTCTCCTGATAAACAGTTTCTGGAGTTCCCCAGACCGCATGCATATGGTCATTTCCACATGATTTCAGATACAATTGCAGTTAAGTACATGGAAAAATACCATGTCAGCTACTTAATTTTATCCAATTACACATAGTATACTGTGAGACACAGAATTCACTCAATAAATTAATTAATAGTGAACTGGGAGGGACTTAAGTCAAACTGGCCAAAACACATTCGGTCATGAAAAGAATGAACTGGGCATATCATGAAGTTCCCAAGCCTGTGCATAGGTGGCCATCCTCTATGCAATATTAGTCAAAGGCTGAGAAAGCAGTAATTGGACTTTGCATATAGCATCCAAGAATTGTCAAGTATTTGACAAGAAGGTAGTAAAAGAACAGCAATACTATGCAACCAAGTAAACCACACATCTCATATACGGATAGCGGGCTCCTTCCAGTGCTTTAAACAGTCTGACCTTTTAGGGAAGAAGGTATTTTGACATTACTAAGTTAGGACACACCTTAAAAGAAGAAGTATAAAGGGCTAGAAGGAAGAAACAGGGCCAGAACTAGAATTCGGCTGTTAACTGCTAAAGCCCAAAGAATCTTAATAACATTCTCAGGGAAAAACACGCCCTTTGGCACCAAAATTTGTTGTGTGAGATTAAAGGTAATTAAAGTAACTTAGACTACAACTCATCACAAGGTTCACTTGCTACAGGAAAGCTCTTCGGGATGAAACTGGAATAAGGAAACACTGGCATTAGAGTGGGACGAGTGGCCCCTTGGCTGAAGAGCTGTTTCTAGGTAATTTCAATACATCGAACAGAGTCTGAGGGGGAAACAGGAACAAGAAGTCACCATATTGGCTTGAACTCTCTTGCCATGTCTTGACCCTCTCTCAAAGATGTACTCTCCAGCCTGGTTGGATCCCACGAAGCTGATGGCTCTGATATCCGGATGATCACAAATAAAGTTTACAGCTTAAAGAAGGAAATGAATGATTACCATAGGGGAACAAACGGCTTTGGGTTTCTCAGCCTCACAACGCCCCCCAGTTCCCACTGCTATGAAGGAGAAGCTTTCATACTTTTGTGCTTCTACACTGGATTCCCATTTTGAAGTTCTCTCTCTTTTTGTCCTTTTAATTCTTTAATCTACAAATTCTATTTAGCCTCTTCCCTTTATTTTTCTCATTTGCTATTCTAGAACTTCCACAATCTAACTCTGAAGGCCAAAACTCCTATTTTCCTCCAAAGTAACAGCCCTTCAATACTTTTGTCCTTTAAGCATGGGATATTCCTTCAACTGTCACTGTGCACCAGAACTCTGAGATGCTATGGCACCCTCACGAGAGACAATATAGCACAGACCAGTTGTGTGCTGCTTAATGATGGGGCTACATTCCAGGAAATTCATCATTAAGTGATTTTGTCATTGTGTGAACATCACAGAGTGCACTTACCAACCTAGGTGGTACAGCCTACTACACCCCTAGACTACACGGTGCAGCCTGTCGTTCATAGGCTACAAACCAGTACAGTGCGCTTCTGTACAAAACGGTATGAGATTAAATTAAACACAAGAACCTGGCTGGCGTAGCTCAGTGGATTGAGCGCGGGCTGCGAACCAAAGTGTCGCAGGTTCGATTCCCAGCCAGGGTACACGCCTGGGTTGCAGGCTATAACCCCCAGCAACCGCACATTGATGTTTCTCTCTTTCTCTCTCTATCTCCCTCCCTTCCCACTCTAAAAATAAATAAATAAAATCTTAAAAAAAAATTAAACACAAGAGAAAATGATGCGATCAAGAGACACAGTAAACTCGAGTCTGCCACCAGCATGACACAATATTATTTTACAGTACACTTCTTTTTTAAGTAAAAAGTGCACACTCTAAAATACCAAAAAGTGTAGCACAGTAAATACATACACCAGTTATACAGTTGTTTATTATCACTATCAGCATCATGCACTATTCATAGTTGTATGTGCTGTACTTTTCTACCAGTGGTAGTGCACTGGGTTTGTTTATGGCAGCACCACTGCACACAAGTGAGTAATACATTGTGCTATAATGTTACAGTGGTTACAATGTCACAAGGTGACAGGAATTTTTCAACTCCTCTGGGACCACTGTCGTATTTGCAGTCTGCTGTTGATCAAAATGTTATGTAGCATATGACTATTTAAAAGTAAAAACCAGCGCCAGCCTTCCTGGGTATGTGCACTGTAGTTTTGATAGTTTCTAGCAGTGGCAAATTACTTAATTTCATTATGCCTCAACTTTCTTATCTGTAAAATGGAAAAATAATAGTATCTATCCCAAAGGGTTCTTATAAAGATTAAATTAGATAATATATGGAAGGTACTAAGAACAGTGCCTCAAATGCAGACACAATTTTTATTTTTTAAAAGATTTTAGTTATTGTGTTTTTAGAGAGAGGGGAAGGGAAGAAGAAAGAGAAGGCAAGAAACATCTATGTGCGGTAGCCTCTTGCACGCCTCCTACTGGGGACCTGGCCTGCAACCCAGGCATGTGCCCTGACTGGGAATTAAACCAGCAATCCTTCGGTTCGCAGGCCCACACTCAATCCACTGAGCTGCACCACCCAGGGCAGAAGCACCTTTTAATAGTAGCTATTATATGAATTAGAAGGTCTTCAGTCTCTCTGAGGTCCACAGATTCTCTAAGCTAAATATCCTCACAAATTCTCTTAATATTGAAGTGAAAACTTTCTCTTTAATCTTATCTGTGCCTTGCCCTAATCCATATTTTGTTGTCCTAGTATATTTTGTAGGGCAAGAAACACTACTACGCCTCAGTTACCTTAGCACACAGATGGCAAAACAGTCAACAGACACTACCTTCACACATGGAGGTTACTACTAGTAAACCCCTTCCTTCCTCGGTTCCTCATTCTAGAACATCCCATTACCACTCAACACTGTAATTTTTTGGTAGTCAGATCAAGTGCCACGTACTGAAGGGCAGTTACCTTCATGCTGTCCATGGATGATGTTCAGCGTTCCATCGGGGGCACCGGAGTCCTGGAGCAACTTAGCAAGAAGCATAGTTGCTCCAGGCACTCGCTCTGATGGTTTCATCAGGAAGGTATTGCCACATACCATGGCCATGGGAAACATCCAAAGGGGGATCATGGCCGGGAAATTGAACGGAGCAATGCCTGCGCACACCCCCAGAGGCAGGCGGTAGGAATAAAGGTCCATGTCTTTGGTGATGGATGGCATGGTCTCTCCCAGCAAGAGGGATGTCACACTACAGGCATGCTCAACCACCTCTGCAACAGAGAAGATGCAGTCAGGCCGCCAGCTGCCCACACTGTGCGCTACTTAGCTTTTGTACACACTCTAGTAAGCCCTGAAGCCAGGGAGTGGCTCAGGCCAATGACAGAGGGAAGAAATACTAACTTGACCTTCCATGTGAAGGGGTTGTTCAAAATAAGATTCTGTAAATGGGAAAAAGACAGCGAAATGTACATACTTACTGGAAGATCAGTTAACTAAAACAAAGAATGAAGTAAACCAATTTCATAGATCCCTGACAAGTAGTGCCATTTTCCACAAGTATTAAAAAAGATGTCAAGGGATAACAAAATCTACATAAAGGATAAATGCAATCCCTCATTACGGGAACTTGCCTCCCATTTTCCTTTGCTTCTTTCCCAAAGGTCCCCAAAACTCCCCATGAGAGACTCCCAACTTACGAAGGCCTCGAAATACATCTCCTTCAGCATCTGCTAGGGTCTTCCCTTGTTCCAGCGTGATTAACCTGGCAATTTCTTTCTGGAGAGAAAACATACAGACAGAAAACACACAGACAGAAAGCAATGGGAGGATGCAGTGCAATCCTTTCGGTTCTCAGGCAGCCGAGGAAGGACAGAACGGGGCGGGAAGCAGTGTGAGGAAGGGAGACAGCCGGGACCATGTCTCTGGGCGCCCCAGGGAGAGGGGCAGTTAAAGGGCCCCTGTGGTGGGGCAAGTCTCCTCTGGGTAGGTTTGGAAAAGGGTATCATTCAGATTTCTCACCAAGTTTTCTTTAATGAGTTGTTGATAGCGAAGCAGGACCTGCTGACGGCTTAATACTGAAGTGTCTGCCCAAGCGGGAAAAGCACGTTTGCAGGAAGCAACAGCTGCATCCATTTCAGCCCTGGTGGCCTGAGGGACCCGGCCAATGACCTCATTGGTGGCCTGATGGGGAAAAGCATCACCGTCGTGCTTTGCTGCTGCCCAACCTTCTCCATTTTTCTTCTAGTCACAAAGGCAACTCTACATGTTTCCCAACAGACACCCAGGTGTCCACTTTCCGGCCATGCACCCAGAATTCTAGGCTAGTCAGTTTGGGCAGCTTTGCTTACTGGGTTGTGGATGTCGATCCACTTGTCGCTTTTGGATTCCACAAATTTCCCATCAATGAAGAGCTTTACAGTTGGCTGGGGGAAAAAACACATACACACAAAATATTGTATTAGCTAGTTGCTTTACTTCCGTCTCTTACTTTCACAAAAAGGAAGGAATTCGGGTTGATAATGAGTGCACAGCTCTCTACAGATGTTACCACTTGGAGAGCGATACACAATGTACTTGCTTACAGTGTTAAGATGGGGCAGAGCCCCTCAAAACTGTGATGCCTCTGAAAATGGGACATGCCCAGCTAATCACACAGTGGACCTTCATAGGTAAACACATGTCACTGTACAGCTGAAACTAAAAAAGCAGCAGACCCAGTGTTAACAAAGACGGGCTATCATGACTTCTTGGCCCAGCTGATTCTCTGTCACATTGTCATGATAATGTCTTACCTTTATGATCAAAATGTTTAAAAAATGTTTTAATCTGTGACTTTTTTCTGAGAAGCAGTGTACTTGCATTACATTTTCACCAAAAAGGTGAAGGACTAAGGAGGGGGGACCCCCACTAAAAAGAAACAATCATCTTCTGGAGGGCAGACCCCTTGTAGTGCAGGCTTCCCCGTCTAGGTGCGTGTTCTGAGAGCCCATCTGTGTCAGTGTACCAGCTGGCATTGTTGTGAGAGGTGTTGGGCTTCAGGGAATTCTTCTGAAGACACTTTCAACGCCCTTGCCCATTTCATGATGGGTGATTTACGAGTGCATCTGCCCACACACTCTGTTCACCTGGCACCACCCCAAGTGACTGTTTTTTGTTTCCCCAGATGAAAAAAAGTCCTCAAAGGGAACGTTTTGCAGATGTGGAAGAGGTGAAACAAAAAATGGCAGCACTAAAAGGCATCAAAATCAACAAGTTCAAAAACTGTTCTGAGCAGTGAAAAAAAGTTTCGACAGGTGTATTGCATCAAATGGAGAGCACTTGAAGGTGATTGAAGTTTAAACGTGTAAGAATAAATATACAATTTTCAAAAATAAATCCAGTTTTATGGGGGCTCCCCCCTTGTACTGTTACAGTGTGTGCATGCTTCTCTACAGAAAGGATTTTGAGCACCAGAGCTATTTATTAGATCTTAGATACTGCAAATGGCTGACAGAAAAAGTCTGTAAAATTAACTCTAAAGGTTGCCAAGGAGTACAAAATTTCTGGCAAGGTCAACTAAACTTCTAGAAGACATGAAAATGTTTGTATCTTCTAACACAGTAATCCTATTTCAGGAGAGAAGTAATCTAAAAGGAAAACAACTATAAGTAATTGCTTGTAAAACAACATGGAAAAACTGAGGCAAATCTCAATGTTATATGGAAAAATATTAGTTAATTCAGGTTACATATACTTAATGGAATAAAATGTAGCCATTAAAATCATAACCACATATAAAGACCATCTTATACTGAAAATGCTTACAACATAATATACATATTAAATATCAGAGCCAAGATAGAAGGGAAGTTTCACACAGACTCTGATCACAATTCCATAGAGAAAATAAAGGGGAATACCCAAAAATTACTCTGGATTCCTTCTCAGAAGTCTACCTTTCATGCCAAATAAACTCACCGCTGAAGAAGAGGAGAAGCAGGATGCTGGATACCAAGTGGAGCTCACCTTGGAAGAAACCTGTGAAGTAATAGAATGACTATTATGATAAATGAGAGCAGAAAATTATTAAAAGCTTAGTAAATGACTACTATATGCTTAATATTATAGTCGTTATTGTGGATATATGAATGAAGACTTGATGTTTGCTCTCAAGTGTCATATGATCTTTTTTTTAAAGATCCTCACCTAAAGATATGTTTATTCATTTGACAGAGAGAGAGGGAGGGAGGGAGGGAGAGAGAGATGTGAGAGAGAAACATTGATCGTTTGCCTCCGATATGTGCCCCAACTGGGGATGGAACCCCCAACCTAGGTAGGTGCCCTGACTGGGAATCGGACCTACTATCTGTTGGTGTATGGGATGATGCTCCAACCAACTGAGCAACCCAGCTAGGGCAAGGGTCATATAATCTTTAAAGAGAAAAGACAGGAGACTGAGATATAGCAAACTGAGGAAAAAATAAACCATAATGATTGTGTCCTCAATTTCCAAACAGCTCTGAATTTAAAAAAATTTTTTTTGTCATTAGTCCCTATTTTCCTAATTTTTGGCCTGGAAAATGTAGTACCATAAATCTAACAATGTAAAAACACTTAGCATGATATCTAACATTGATGTTTCTCTCCCTCTCTTCCCCTAGTCTAAAAATAAATAAATAAAGTCTTTTAAAAAAAGAAAAAAAATGTTGGAGCTGGGATAAAATCCAAGTATGATTGTGGAGCCTATGCTTTTTATCCAGCACTGAGGCACGTCACCAAGACTCTCTTTAAGACTGGTTTTCTGAATGGGAATCATAATACCACAAGGAGCATAAGTTCTAAATTTTACTAGCCACCACAACAGAGAAGATGTGCTGAACATGCACTTTAAATAACTGAGGTCACGAACTCTCTCCTTTACATGTCCTTTTCATAGTCCTCTAAAATGCATGACTGCTGGAATCTAAACTGCTCTTTATCATGTTTAATGTTACAGTAACTACTAGTTGGCTAACGATTACTGTTTCTGTTCTTTTCCAGTTCAACTCAGAAGTTTCTTCAAATGAGTAAGAAAATAGTGTGTTTCCAAAATAAAGTACATGGGAAGGGAGATTTTTATCCTTGATGCAAAAGATAAAAACCCTCTTAAGGATCTCTTCTTCTTCTTAAAAAAATATTCATTTTTATAGAAAGGGGAAAAGAGGAAGAATGAGAAAGAGGAACATCAATCCCAACTGGTGACCTGGCCTGCAACGCAGGCATGTGCCCTAACTAGGAACAGAACCAGCAAGTTTGGTTTGTAGGCTGGTATTCAATCCACTGAGCCACATCAGCCAGGGGTAGGGGCTCTTCTTAATGACTGTGTGACTCAGGGGCCAGGAAGGAGGCAAAGGAAAAAGTCAATTTCATTAAAAGGTTTCAAGGAGAAACAGAAACATACGGTGGAAACTTTGCATTGCTACTATTAAAAAAGGATACTGGAAAAACAAAACTGGGATGATAGCAAGAAATACACCAATGAAGCCAGATCATCTGACAAACCCTTCTGACCCATACTCCACACTTTCCCATTAAACAGCATATTTAAACATTAACCTTTGCTGACTCTGCTAAGAATCCTAAAAATGAGTAAGTTTCTGCAGTTGAACTCATTAAACCTGGCAAATACCAATATTATCTATAAGTCCAGCAGTATAAAGGAAGAAGTTCCCAGGCTGGACACAATGAGTAGGAGGGGCAATGTTGTTTCTTGCAGGTTGGCGAAAGCAGTCTGCAGCAAATCTTGCCTCACCAAGTCCTCGATAAACTGTGAACAAGAGGGGAAAGGCTATGAACAGAGTTGAAGGTCATGGGTCTCAGGCATGAGTTCCTGTAGCTCTACCACCCCTCCTTAAGTTGGCTTCCTAGAGGACCTAGCCACCCCAGTCCCCAAGGGCAGTGTCGAGGGTGTGTTGGCCCACTGACATAGGAGCAGGAATTTGGAACGCAAACTTGTCTTCCTTGGCTCCCATTCTCTATTACCTGTTTTAGAGATGATTAGTGCCCTGCATGTGCTTGAGACAAACCAGTAGCATAAATGTGTTCTTCTTTACCACCACCATAAGCACTGTAACTTTGCTGAGCCCAAGTTTAACTCAAAGTCCTGGCATGCAAAGGGACAGCCCGTGGCCTGTGGAAAATAGCTTAGCAAACGGCGGCTTCGGAGAAAAACACTTCTAGAAGACGATTCAAAGTCCACTCACTGACCTCGCCCCTCGTGTGTCCCCTTCTTCTCCTCTTAAGCTCGGATTGTGGACAGTGAAATAGAGTCGGAGAAGGGAACAATCTGGACGCTCCTGATAGTTGCAAAAGCTCTAAAAAAGGTGACCAGAGGGGAGTTTCTAGGGAGAGAGGTGGCAGGTGGAGAAGTGAAAAGTAAAGAATGTGGCGGTACCGAGGTGAGGTGAGGGCAGGAGAGTGTGACAGCAGGAACGGGGCAGGGCTAGAGGAGGAGAGTGGGCCAGAGCCAGACAAGGGGAGGCTCAAAACAAAAAGGGGGGAAGGGCAGGGGTGCCAGTCTGGAGCTGGACCCAAAGAGTGCGAATACGGAGTGAGATGGGTGGAACAGGGCCGCACGTCTTGTGGGAACAGCGGGGTCGGCCAGGAAGGGGCTGAGTCAGAGAGTGGACGGCAAGGATCCAATTCCTAGCTCCGCGACCCCTCGGTGCCACCCTCACTCGCCTGCAGGATCCGAGCCCGCACTGAGGCCGCCGCCACCACCGCCGCCATGGTTCCCGTCTGCTGCTTCTCCGCCTCCCGGGGCCTCTACTCTCCGTGACTCCCTACAAGAACTGCAGCTGCCAGATTTCGCCCCACCATCCTGTCGCACCTCTTCATTGGTGGAGAGGACCATATCCCCCAGCCAATCACTCACCGTGACTTCTGACTCCACCCCTCATTCCCAGTTTTGGGGGTAGGCGATTGGTTAGAAGTGAAAGCTCTCTCGCCCCTCTCCCACTTCACCAAATTCTGTTGGCGGAGGTAGGGAAGACGCCCCTAACTTGGGTTCTCTATATTCAGCGCGCAGGGAAGACGCCCCCTAACTGGGAACCCCGATTGGCTACAGGGACGACTGCGGCCCCACCCCACAATGTGGAAAGTAAATAAAACCCTCCTAGAATTTTGCTGGCGCTCCACCTCTTCCAATGCGCGAGGGGCTGTGGCCAGCACTGGGGGCGGGGCTAGGCAAAGACTGCCCTATGGGGGGGAAACGAGATGGGACTGGGAGTTGGAGATAGGGTTTCTCTTTGGGGGCGTGGCTTGTGGGTTCCAGCTTTCCCGCCGACGGTTGGCCACGTCACGTGACGTGGGTTGGAAGATGGCGTCTCCCACGGAGGGTAAGAGCCGGCTTAGAGATCCTTCTTTCCCCTGCTCCCCTGTCGATTTCCGCTCTCAGTCTGCCCGTCGAACTTACACTTTTTTCCTGGGCTCCTCTCTTTTCCCTTCCACTTCTCTTCCTTAGGGTGCGGGTGCGTCTTCACCTCGCCGATCCTTCACAGCTGCTCTAAAGGTGCCCAGCTTCCCCTCTGTGTACCAGGCGGGTGGAGGACAGCACCCGCGAGGGACCCATCCCGGGGCCTTTTGCTCCCTTAGCCTCACTTCACTGAGGGCCGAGGAGGGATACTGCTGGGGGAAAGGAGGTGCCTTACTGTAGCTGTCTTCTGGGGCGATCCATTGAAGGGTCAGTTCTCTTGTCTTTGGTCACCTGGAACGATTCTCCCCAGTCCTCGCTTGGATTGGTGCTGGACCTGGTCCCGGAACTGACTTGATTCTCTTCTGTCTCGCCAGATTGGTACGGTTGTCCTGGCAGTAAGAGAAGTGGGGGACCTTCCCGGCCCCTCCCCAGCAGAGTCCCAAGGAAAATGAGAATTGAGATTTCTTTAGTGTAGTCTTGCACACTTCTCAGCCTCTCTTCTTTCTGCTGTATGTGTTTTCTCAGGCTGAGTGAGTGGACGATTTCTGCTTGTATATTGTGTAAGATGTAAGTCATCCCAGCAGCTAAGTGGTTTGGGTATACCCGTATGCTTTTGCGCTCGTTTCTGCTTAAAAGAGCGTCTTGCAGCCATTTCTGAACTCATTTTTTGTTTCTACTGCCCCCACCCCCACGTCCATTTCATTGATAAGTAGTTTACCCTCCTCAAACCAACACATTTTGTGTTTGGAAGGAATCTTTGGAAGTTGATTTCAGGAGTGAGGAAATCGAGGCCAGGAAAACTGGGTTGATTACTATATGAAAGGCATAATGCTAGGTGCTTTAGATGAAGAAAAGATTAATCAGACATGTAAACTCTTGCAGTTTCAGGTCTTATTTTAGGTGTCACCTCCCAGAATGTTAAGTATGTGGATTTCCCCCTCTTCACCGTTGTTCACTATCTCAGTACCTTCACTGTCAGCATAGTATATTCTGTTAACTTTGCCCCTTTCACAGTAGATTATAATTCTAAGTCAGTCTTGTTCATAGTTGAAAGAATGAGTTGATAAATACATAAATAATATATTACTTCATCTTAACTTTCAGGTTAACCGAGTCTTAAGTTTTTTGAGTGCAGGTAGACTGTATAAGAAATTATTGGTGTTCAGAGTCAAAAGATTCTTTCTCCTGCTTGGGTACTCTCCAGTTAAAATGCCCTCCTCTTCCTAGAGAAAACAAGGGGGGAGAGAGGGCATTTAAATAGTTAGCCAAGGGAATGGGGAATTATTTTTTAGTGGGTACAGAGTTTCAGTTTGGAAGGGTGAAAAGTTATGGAGATGGATGGTGGTGATGGTTGCACAACATTGTGAATGTACTTAATGCCGCTGAACTGTACACTTAAAATAGTAAATTTTGTTATCTATATTTTGCCACAATTTAAAAAAGCTAGCTGAGTAATAGAAGTATAAGTAATTTCTGTTAAAATTTTTAAGTTTACTAGGTTATTTTTTGATTTGTAAGTTTTGGGGATTTTAGAGCTCTGTTCTTTGTGTTTGATTTTTCTGTCTTTCAATTTCTTTTCTTTGGCTAGGAAGAGTATTGGAAATGTTAGGTATTTTTTCCTTTGATCGTCTAGTCATCTTCATCGTTATTCTTTGCATTCTTGATCCTTAAAAGTTTTCAGTTTCATCTTTTACAAAGTTTCACTTCTCTGCCTAATCTTTTTTTTAATATGGCATAATCAAGTTGAGCACTTTCTTTGTACTTAAATTCAGCTTCTAAATAAGTACATCATCCTAAAATATTTTCCTGCCTAGCTCTTTCACTTTTATTTTTAGTGTTTCACCTGTCCTTATATTTAAAACTTAACTCAAATAATGTTGATTTGAAAAGATTTGGCCATTGCTATGGCTGGTGTGGCTCAATGGATTAGTGCCCACTTGTGAAACAAAAGGTCACTGGTTCAATTCCCAGTCAGGGCACATGCCTGGGGCACAGGCCAGGTCCCTGATTGTGGGTGTGCAAGAGGCAACCAACTAATGTTCTCTTGCACATCGACATTTCACTCCCTCTCTTTCCCCCACCCTTTCCCTCTCTCTGAAAATTAATAAATAAAATTTTTAGAAAAAGAAAAAGATTAGGTCATTTACTCATTTGCCTTTTTAATGCTGAATTTTCTGGGACTTTTTTGGGCAGGAGAAAATTGAAAACAAATAAAGCCATCTAATTACTTAAATTATAAGAGTAAGACTCATGGCAGAGTCTGAATTATGCCCCCAACTGTGGTTTTCATAAGGCCACCCTTGTTGGTTATTGGCTCCTACCCCCAGTTTACTTTTGTTACAGTTGAGCATCCCATTGGTAACATTCCTTGGGAATTGGAAACTTGACATTTTGTGTTACACACAGCTTTCCTTTCTTACAGTTTTTGGATGCTTTAGTTAAGGAAATTTATTAGAGTTGAGTTCTTGATCAATTAGAATGCCATTGGAAATTCTCCTAGAATATTTGGGGGAAAATTCAATTTTGAGAAAAGTTCATGTTGAAAAATTTATATTTATGTACATTTTCTGGGGAGTGAGTCCATAGCTTTTTTTCTTTCTTTTTTCTTTTTCTGGATTTCAAAAGATGTGGCTTACCCAGAAAATGTTAAGAACTGTTTAAGTTATTAAATTAACTAATTTATTCAACCAGTTAGTATACGGAGCATACAGTATGTTTTTAACAAGTGTTAAATGTTGTTAATATCCAGTGTCTAGTGTGTGCCCGGGCAAGAGTGGCAAGGAAATGGTGTCAAAGAATTGGGCTGAATCATGTAGGTCATGGTAGATACAAATTCATGAATTTAGCTGGGGAGAAGTCCTTGAAGCTGGAGAGTGACATGAACTGATTGCTGTTTTGTTTGTTTTGTTTGTTTATTTAATCAGTTCTGGCTACCTTGCAGAGAGTAGATTGGTGGGTGTGGAGGGGAAGGGGTAAGAAGGGGTAAAGGGAGACCTGTTAAGAAGTTATCGAAGTAGTCCAGAAGAGAAGTATTGGTTCCTTGGTTAGTTAATTTGGTTTCAGGGAATATTCTGAAGATAGAAACTAGTGGACTTACTATATTTTATTGTGGAAGGGTGGAGGAAACAGAGGCATGAAAAGTGGATGGGATCTAAGTTTTGGGGAACTGGGGTTTGTGTTGGTGCTATTTCTTGAGATACAGAGGACCAGGAGAGTATGGTTTTGAACATAATTAGACTCAAAGGATTTTTTACACATGTAAATAGATAGAGACGTCAAATAGCTACTGAGATATGTAACTCTGAAGTTCAGGGAAAGATTGGGACTGGAAATACAAATATGGAATCATTGGCCTGGTAAAGGCTATGAGACTAGATGAGATCCGCTTAGGAGACTTGAGGTAGAGAGTGAAGCCAGTTTAGGATGGGGCCTGAGTGGAAGAGGAGACTGAGGAAGGGGTCAATGAGGAAAGGAGAAACACCAGCACAGTGGTCTTATAGAAGCTGGAAGTGGAGTGTTTTGAGAGTGGGCAATGTGTGAATGCTGCAGAGAAATCACATGAAAGAGAACAGAGGAGTGACCACTGGGGTTTAGCAGCATAGGCCATAGACAGCCTTGGCAACAGCAGTCTCTGTGTATATAGGAACAGAAGCCTGGTTGTCATGGATTAGGGACAGGATGTGAGGCGAGGAAATAGAGACAGCATTATAGATAGACAGCTCAAGAATTTTGGGGTGAAGGAGTGAGGAGGTAATGGAGTCAGAAAGGGTTTTTTTGAAAGAAGGAACATTCTAGAGCAGGCTTGCTTGCTGTTGAGTATGAGCCAGTAGAAACAATAGAAACTGATTGTGCAAGAAAGATACTATTATTTATGATGCCTTTGATGGAGCAAGAGAAGATGGAATTCAGAACCCTAGCAGAGGAGTTTGTTTTTCTTGAGAGCAAGGACACTGAATCGATTGTAACTGGAGGAAAGTCCACGAGGACGAGTGAAGTTTGATGAGAGAGAATGATTCATTTGTGTAACACTTATTTGTAGTTGTACAGATCAGACCTGTAGATTTCTAGATGAATGACTGTTCCAGTATGTTATGTTCTTTGAGACTGAAATGTTATAAAATATAAATGAACATGTTTTGTGTCATCTGGGCTCATCTGGGTGTTTTGTTCTAGGGACGGATCTGGAAGCATCTTTGTTAAGTTTTGAAAAACTTGACCGTGCCTCACCAGACCTTTGGCCAGAACAATGTAAGTTTTCGGTTTCTTTATATCAGAATTAATGCAGAAGAACCAGTGCTGCATTGAGGAGATTTTTGAAGAGATATCATTTAACTGTAATAGTTAAAATTTTATTTCAAAGGGAACACTGAATTTTGTGGTCCAATGTTAAGAATAGCTATTTGGTGGTTTAATTTTTTT